GTGACACACACTCAGCAGCACCACTGTAACCACGGTGACACACTCAGCAGCACCACTGTAACCACGGTGACACACTCAGCAGCACCACTGTAACCATGGTGACACACACTCAGCAGCAGCACTGCTGCAGCCACCACTGTCTCCACATCAGAACAAACCTTTTCCATGCTCTCTGTGAGCTTCTTGGCAAAAGCTCTGAGGGGCTTGTGTATTGGTCCCACCTTCCAGAAAGAGAACTGGCACTCAGGAGCTTCAAGGGCCTGCTCTAGGCTGTGAAGGAGGGATCAGAGCTCTGTTGTGAGCTAGGATCCTACAACTACACCAGCCCCCACATGCAGCTGGCCAGAACGCTGTCCCTGAGCCCTGCAGGAAGACCCCAGTACATGCAGCCTCACTCAGCCTGGTTGCTGCCTCCTAACAGAGTCCTCCTATACCCTGAACTCACATGGCATTTGTACCTGCTTAGATACATATAATAACACCAGACTATTTGACACAAGATTCCAGCACGATATATGAAAGATACTGCCAGAGTACCAGAGGAGGGAATGACATAGGCAGAAGCTTCCATGGAGGGCTGGGAGGACACTATCCTGAGTCAAGGAGCAAAAGGAAGCCCCACCACTTATGACAAAGGTAAAATATAAAGCAGTACTGAAATCCAAGGAGGTTTCTTGCCATTCTTTCTGCTTTCTTATGTAAGCCTCTTAGTAATGAACATTCTTCCACTCATCAGAGAAAAAGGAAGGCATTCTTTAACTAAGTCTGTTAAGGAGTGGAAATGCCAAGAGACACATGACTGTGCAGTCAGTGAGCCTTCCCAGGCTTCATCCTTCCTTTTCCTGAGTGACCCATGATGGAGTTAATTTTCAGTACGTATGCATGCATGCATGTCTGTATATATGTAGATCCATTGACTCTTTGACAATTCTACAAAGAGAACACATTCTGTTCATCTAATCCTTCCATCTACTTGCTCTGGGGAATCCTTCTTTATGGTGTCCTATCTCCAACATGCCAATCTCACCAAGGATATGAAACGTTAAGTCGAAATGGCACCAAAGACACCTTAAGAGAAAGCATTAACGAAGTGGTGGGCCACTGCGCCTTTCAGCATCCCTGTGCTTGCAAGAAACCAAAGATCAGTTTTCCCCACTTATTCTTCACAAAACTTAAGTTATCTCACATTCAACACACACACACACAGTATCACCAACAACACTTGAAGACCCTCCCCATGTAAGTCATGTGACCTTCCAGGCCTTCCTCAAGACAAGCAGGAAGTCCACAGCTGCTGCCTCAGTGCTGATGGACCTGCTAATGTGCTCCCACAAAATGCAGGCTTCAAACAGGTGCTGTGGCCATTTCCTCCTGTAAGGAGGAGTTTCACAGTTTTGTTGGGTTTACCGTAGGAGTCAGCGCCACAACACTTTTCCACAAATGCTTACAGTATCAAACCCAACGATAAAATTCACACTCTATCCCTCACTCCACTTCTCACTCTTGCTCCTTGTAACATGGTTGGGCCTGACAGTCATGCTGAGCTGTGGGAGTCATCCTACAGACAGAGAGAAGGATCTATGCACCTGAGACCAAGCATCACAAAACTGAGATGCAGACGTTCAGCTAATTGGCCACGGTGAAGATGTGAGGTGATGCCAGCTCACAGAATGGCAATAGGACTGAGGCAGAGTAAACACCCATGAGACCCTTCGCATGACAGGTCAAGAGACATGGAGGAGGGTCCAGAGAAGGAGGCCCGGAGAAGTCAAATGGGAAAATGCTACAGAAAGGACTGGAACACACTCTGGAGGCTCAAAGGCTGCTCAAAGCGAGCCTGCCATATTGCCAACTGGATGCTGGCATGATGATAGCGCTGGGGTAGGACGGCAGTAGGGACACAAAGCTGTCTCCTTTGATGTTTGGCCAGATGAATCATGGTTGTGTTTTGAAGGAAAGACGAGAGCTTCCTGGAAGATGATACTTTCAGAGCGTCAGCAAGCTGAGTGTTTCCTTCAAGCTAGAGCATCAGGACAATGGCCTTCAAATACAATGGATCTGGGGCTATGAGAGAGCTTTTAAATTTGTGAGGATCCCAGAGTTACCATAATTGCCTTCCAAATCACAAAGGGTTATAAATGTAAAAAAAAAATGCCTCTGGCATTTCCTTTCATAATAGAATGTTCTCTATCTCGTCACATTCAAGTAAATCATGCTTGCCCTCCTTCAGGTAACAAAAGAGGTTTCTTGATTAAGAAAGAACAAGACAAGCCCCAAATTTCAGTAGCAACTGAAGCTCTTCTCATAAGAAACAAGAGCATATGCTCAGATGTCTCAGGATCTATCTATGAGGTGGGATTCGCGCTGCCTACTGGGCCTGTCTGTGGTGGCTGTTGGGAGAGCTCTTGATTTCTCCATGAAGAGTGCATGGCACCTGCCTAGTTAAAAACCCAGCCAATACTAGCTACCCTATCATATGCATACACACCGCTTCTTAGAAACTACAGGAGTCCAGTGGGCCTTCCAACAGGGTGCAACCATTCCTTATAGATAAGCTGTCAGGGTCAGTCGAAGCAGAGCAGAGATGCGTTTTGGCAGCCTTAGCAGAAATCTGTGTCCAAATATTTGCAGTGTAGTCGGAAGCCAATCTCTTTTGTGGTAAGGAAGGTAGCTTTTTCCTGCATGGACCCAGTTGATCATAGTTACCTGGTAGGTTCCATTCTGAAAAATGCAGATTTATGACCCCTAAAATCCCATTTGAAATGGGGGGACCTAGCATGAGCTTTACAGTTTACCTGACAAACAGAGGCCTCTAAAACACAGGTGTCAATAACTGTCACTACACTGTCTGAACTGCTGCCACCAAGTCCCCAGTGTTGACCCTCATGCTTCATGATACAGCCATGCCTCATGAAAAGATGACAAGCAGTCTCTCTTTTCAGCCCAGAGGACACCAATTCCTGCCAGTGAACAATGTCCAAGAACCCAGAAGCAATATTAAAACAGCAGTTAATGCTGATATCTTCCTAAGGTTTCTGGAAGAAAAAAAGAAATCAAGAGAAAGACAGCAACCAGGATACAGCCCTGTTCTGAGTTCAGGGCCATTACCTCAAAAGAATGCAAGATGTTCCATTCAGCCTCAATAGGCACAGGACCATCTTCCCAAACGGTTGGGACAGCCCAAATCATGGCAGATTCCAATTCCCACAGCTCCAACCTAGAGCCACCTAGCTGTGACCCTGGGCAATTTACTTTCTCCTTGTTAGGGGAAAGAACACAAATTTCAGAAGGGCTGAAAGGTGTTACTCAGTTAATAGTCCAGAAAGCTACTGAGCATGCGTATATGTGTGTGTGGGGGGGTGTGCTTCATAACTGCTGGCTATTGCCACCATCAGACAGGCACCAGCAGTGTTAGTCAGCAGTACGCTGGCTCTGTAGAACCAATGCCCTCAATCTCTCAGATCTGCTCTTCTCCTCCATTCACTGCCAAACCATGCTTCAACCTGGACAAGCGCCATAGATAGCACCCTCTGACCCCAAGACCCCAGCTGATGCATGGTGCTTAAACAGAGCCTGAAAGATGCTTAATATATATTCTGTGGAGCCTTTAATCTTTAGGATGAGCTAGATGTCACAAATGGGTCTTGATGTGGGATTCCCCTCTGTATGCTGTGACAGTTATTGGTTAATAAAAGAACTGCTTTGGGCCTATAGCAGAGCTATAGGGGAACAGAGCTAGGTGGGGAAAACTAAACTGAATGCTGGGAGAAGCCATGTAGCCCCACCAGAGACAGATGCTGGAACTTTAGCAGGTAAGCCACAACCACATGGCAATACACAGATTAATAGAAATGGGTTAAATTAATATGTAACAGTTAGCCAATAAGAAGCTAGAGCTAACGGGCCAACCAGTGATTTAATTAACACAGTTTCTGTGTGATTATCTCAGGTCTAAGTGGCCCGGAACTAACAAGCGGCCTCCTCCTCCAGGGCCTGTCAGCTGCTGAGTGGATGAGCCAGTTAAAGAACAGCATGGTGCTAGACCTGGCTGAGGTAGATACCCAAGGAGCATTTACAATCTGATGGCAGTCCTGCCTCTCCCCTCCTTCTCCTCCATCACCTGCTCCTCAGGCTGGAAAAGGCTTTCTGTGCTGGGAAGGAGGTGAGGCCCCACAGAGCTGCCAACCATCCCAGGATCCTTAGAAATCAATAGCTGCCCTTTGTGAGCAAGCCTACAGCAGCAGGCAGCGCTGTCGAAAGAGAGTCCAGACAAGGCTTTTAAAGTAATTCTTGACCCATTTACACAGGACTGGCTGAATGTGGTGTTTTATGCATGTAATGGGTTCTAATTACCACTACTGTGTGGAACCAGGTAAAGTATGTGCAGAATTAACAGAAGGGTACCCCCTTTCCCTCCATTGGCCCTCCCGCAACTGTTCCAGTGAGAATACAGTTTGCAAGGGCTTAGAGTCATCAGAAGCAATCACAAGTAAGGCCCATGTGGCTGGGCGACCACTGTGCTCTGTACCAGGGCTGTCTACTGGCATGTGTGATGGCGTACTACCCAGTCCTACTCGTGTATCTTATGGGAGCTTTGTGTGACACAAGCATGGTCTTGGTGTCTGCTACTGCAG